TATCTGATGTGATTTTGCCTAGCTTTGCTTGCTGCTTCCTGTCTGTTAGAAAGCTCATGATCCACTTACAGGTGTGGTCAGGCACAGCTAGCTGATTTAGTTTAGTGAGAAAAATATCTGGATGGTATTGATGGTATTGAATGCTGAGCTGAAATCTACAAAAAGGACCATTGCATAGGTCTTTGCACATTCAAGATATTGTAGGATGTAGTGCAGTGCTATATTAACAGCATCATCTGCTGATCTATTTGCTCGATAGACAAATTGCAAGAGGTCTAATAGTGGATCCATGATGGTTTTCAGGTGGGCCAGCACAAACTTTTCAAAGGTTTTCGTAACTATGGATGTCAGAGCAACTGGTCTGTAGTAGTTGAGTTCCTTGATGGAGGGTTTCTCCGGCACTGGGATGATAGTAGAGCATTTGAAACAAGAAGGAACATAGCATATCTCTAGTGATTTATTAAAGAATGCAAGTGAAGACGGGGGCCAACTGGTCAGCACGAGCTTTCAAGCAAGGAGTTATCTTGTCTGGGCCTGGTGCTTTTCCAGGCCTTTGTCTGTGAAATAGACCTTGCACATCATTTTCTGTGATCACCAGAGGTGGGGGGCCCAAGGGGATGGAGTCAGTTATAGGAGGTTTGGCTGTTGTTGGTGTATCTGAGATGGAGATAGGTGACAATGGTTTCCTCTCAAACCTACAGTAAAACACATTCGGGTCATCAGCCAGTTGTCCATTTCCTTTAGCATGGAGAGGAGGTTTGCTATAACCAGTGATATTTTTGAGAGTTTTCCACATATTTTCTGCTTCATTTGTTGAGAACTGATTCCTTAGCTTTTCCGAATAGCTTCTTTTTTCTGCTTTGATTTCCCTTGTTAATACATTTCTAACCTGATTGTACAGCATTCTATATTTCTTCCTGTAGGCTTCCTCTTTGGCACGACGTAGCTGCTTGAGTTTAGCTGTGAACCAAGGCTTCTTGTTACTGTATTTTCACAAGTTTCTGGTTGGTACATATAGGTCTTCACAAAAACTAACATATGATGTTACAGTAATTGTGAGTTCATCCAAGTCTGCATAGGTATCATTGAAAACTTTCCAATCAGTACAGTTAAAGCAAGCCTGTAGCTTTAGCTTTGCCTCCTCAGTCCAAGACTTCACTGATTTAATTGTTGGTTTTGTGGTTTTAAACCTTTGTCTATAAATAGTTACAAGGTGAATCATACATTGAGCAGAGTATCCCACAGCTGCTCATGGTAAAGACCGATAAGCATCTTTTAAGGTTGTGTAGCAGTGGTCTAAAGTATTCTTGCCTCTAGTGAGATAGTTGACATGCTGAAAGTATTTTCATAGCTCTTGGCTTAAGTTAGCATTTTTGAAATCTCCTAATACAATGAGGAGTGAATCAGGATATTTTCCTTCAGCCCACATAATCTGGTCAGCTAGAGTTCATAATGCATTGTTTATACAAACTTGTGGATGAACACACACTGCAAATAGAATGAATGAGGAAAATTCACATGGAGAATAACATAGTTTGCAATTGATGATTAAATGTCTCTAAGTCCACATCACAGAATTTCTTTAATGTAGTTACATTTTTGCACCATCGGTTGTTGATATAAAAGTAGAGACCCCCCTCCCTTCTTTTTACTGGATATTTCTGCAATTCTGTCTGCCCTCTGTACCTGAAACCCTGGGATTTGCAAGCCATAACCATCAATTGATTCATTTAGCCAGGTTTCAGTGAAGTAGATTGCTGCTCAGAGTCGCATCTGTTTAAAAGAAGTATTTCACCCATCATTAGTGAATGAACGAAGATTAGTCAGAAAGAATGAAGGAAGAGGAGTTTTTGTTCTATTTTTTCTTAGTCTATTCAAAATCCCTGCTCTCTTACTTCTTATGGGTCAGTGATCCCTATTTTATTTTTGCATCTTCAACAAAGAAAAAGCAGATGTCCTTTCTTCTAGAGACTTGAAATATAATTAATTGGAATCAATTTTAGATTGAAATCTGATATTACTTTAATATTTTTAAGGACTTTGCAATTATTGCTAAAGCATTATTGAAGGTTCTAATTCTTTAGTTCATGATTGGTAAATTCTATCAGCATCTGCTGTGTTTGACATGTTTTATACTTTTTTTTGCTGCATGCCATACTTCTTATGAGATGGGCAGCCATATACATTTGATAGATAAATGTGTGTGTGTGTGTGTGTGTGTGTGTGTGTGCACGTGCGTGTGTGTGTGTGTAATAGAAAGAGAAAGTGAGTTTAAGTTCTACTGTAACTTCCATTAGATAAGAACTTGGCTCAGATACCTTTGAAGTGGCCAAGGCACTTGGACCACATTGCGCTATCAAACACATTTATATTGAAAATATTGCCATTGTTGTGAACTAGAAATCCATATTGAATCTGAAAAATCCTTAGTGTAGTTATTATATATTAATTGATTTAAAATCATTATCCTGGTTTCTTCCCATATCTTTGAATAAAACATTTACCATCTATTTTTAGCAAAGAGTTATATATTCACGAGTCTCAATATTAAAGTCCAATCTACACCATAATAAATCCCAAAGATTTCTCACAGCACAATATCCAGGAAATAAAATACCTACATGTTGATCAAAGAAATTGCCAGGAATGTAATAGGATCCTCAGAAAATTGTATTATAATAATTTTTCATTCTACTTTTGGTTGTTAAAATATAAGACCAATAACATTTTTGCAAGTTCAGTAAATTAAAGCCATCATTATTACTTCAACTATTAGGCAACAGCTTTTGGAAATGTGTAACTTACTGTTTTGGGAAAGACAATTTTTAAAACTAATTGGAAAATAAAGCAATATGTTCTTTTTTTATATAGAGTTTATAGTATTTTACAACAGAGTAGTATTTTTAGTTTTTAAAAACTTTTCTATTTGATAACAATTTATATCAGGTATCTTTTGTAAACCAGTGATTTCTATATGAGATAGGCATGTTTTGTATTACTACCTGGATTTTTTTCCCCTTTTATATTTCTTGGTTCTCTTTAGGGTTTTTTTTGTGATTAATTGTCTTTAGTATTGCATTGTTTCTTTCATTGTTTCTTTTTTGCATCTTAATACTGTTTAGTTACTGTTCCTTGTGTGTCCGATCACACTTGGCCAATAAAGAATTCTGTTCTGTTCTATTCTATTCTGTTCTATTTGTTAGCAATTTTGCTATAAAAACAATAGAGTTGGGAGAAAAAAATATAAGAAATATAAGAAAGGGGAACTACAGTATTCTATGTTATTGAGATTAGGGAGGATTAAGAGATCATTCTATAATTTTTAAAAAAAAATTGGTTACATTTTTCAGTGTCAGTTTCCATAGGAATCATACAAACATGTATTGGTTATATATGCCAGAAGTGTCAACAACACTGAAAGTAAAATAATTTAAAAATTTGAAAACGTATAGAACTGCACATATATGTTTAACAAAGTCATTCTTTCTCTTTATCACATGATGTCATAAAATTAATCTAATTGTTTCATTCTTTTGGAGCTGATATTAATCACTGTATAGTTTATCAAAGGATATGACAATAGACATAAATCAGTATATATTTACATTCATTGGATTTTATGGATTATTCAGATACTATATGAAGAACTATTTTGGTTTTGGTTTTGTTTGCTTTTAATGAAATGCTAACTTTTAAGCAGATGTCAGTGCTGCCTTATCCTGCTGATACTGAGAGAGAAATTGCAGACATCTTTGCACACATATTTTATTTTGCTTGTATATATATTTTAAAAACCTCCCAAAATACATTTGTTTTATCTCAATAGAAGTACATAAATTCTATCTGCCTTCAGAATAGTTTGAAATTTTGTGTTGTGACAATTAGGGTATTTCCTACCATCATTATGCAGTAAAACACAATCACAGTGCTGGTTATTTATGTTGGATCTATTTTCTTGGTTAATCTGTGGTGCTAACAAGTTGTTTAATTTGAATACAATTCATTTTGGTTTAGTTTTTTAAGGCAGTTGTTGCCTAATATTTTTTTAAAAACAAAAATACGGGCTTAGGTGAGTATTTCTCAATCTCAACAATTTCAAGATGTGTGGACTTCAACTTCTAGAACTCTGCAGCCAGCCATGAGTTGCCCATGATGGCTGGAGAATTATGGGAATTGAAGTCATTACATCTTAAAGTTGCTACAGTTGAAAAATACTATTTTAGCATTCTTTCATCAAGTAAAGGAGAGATTCAGTTAGCTTTCCTTAAAATCATGTCTCCAAGTTATATGCAGTATTCTCTGTGGTACCTGTATCTGCTGGTAGTAATGGAACTGTAATTCTAAATAGTTGGAGGGCACTGAGTTTAAGATAACTATACTATTGTATTACCATAGACAACACCCCTTATAAAGCCTATCGAAAAATGGATTTTCTTTCAAGATTTCCTCAAAGCAGCAAAATGAATATATTATAAACTTCAGAAAATTCAGATAAATTGTTTTAAAGAAGTCTTTGTTCTAACTGAATGTTATTTTTATTTTGATTAGTAATATCTAAGGTTGACCTTTTTATATGGAAATATAAAACAATTCTTGTTCATAGGAAAACATTGCTAAAATAAAGTATGCATAAAAACAATTCCACCTGTTTATAATACAAGACATATCTGGAAAAGAAACCTCCAAAGAAGTATTTTTTGTTACTTTAAAGCGTAACCAATTTTACTGCTGCATTAGCTTTCACTGATTCTGTCTACTTTGTCAGATTAATGGAATAGGTTCTTGTGTGAGAGACATTAATGCAGAGGAGGAATGGGAAGGAAAGGTGTGATGAGAAGAAATATTACCCCTTTAAGGCCTGGGAGATTATAAAAATGGTTAGATAAAGATCACAAATGATGTAGAATGTTTGTATATTTGTCAATCCCGTCAAGCAAAATCAAGGAATAAATTTGAAAAATTAAGACTCATTTTCACAATTTTACTATTAAAATACTTACTCACTACATTTATGCAGCAACAATTTTTCTGTGCGTATATAGCTGAGAAGATCCAAAAAAGGATATACTGCATCAAGAGTCCAATCTGAACTACTAATTTGTTCTGTTGAATAGCAGTAGGAAAGAAAAATTGATTAAGAAGTTGAACAGAAGAACAGATAAACAAAACACATTAGTATTTTTTTAAAAAATGGTTCAGAATTATTTCAAGGCTTACCTTTGACATACTGAATTCCTATAGGAAGTGCCTTTTCTGATTCTGCAGTTAACAAATAATACTTTATTGACTCAAATATATTTCCATCTGTCTGAGCTTTCTCTGCTAATTGCATACATTCTTCTACATCTGGTAATCTGCACTGAAAATGAAAGTGGATAGAAACAAATTAATGCAATTATCAGCAGAGAAGGGTATAAAATTGTTCATGTTCGCAAAGTAAGTCTGATACAGTTGAAATGAAGTGCAGAGCTTTCTTGCAACACCATTTTCTTTCTCTAACCCAGTGGTTCTCAACCTGTGGGTCGGGACCCCATTTGGGTCGAACGACCATTTCACGGGGGTCTCCAAACAACGCAGTCTGCCATTTTCCCCCCCTTTTCCTTAGCTGTGGTAGTCCCTTTTATTCTATTGGCTTTTGAAAGCCAATAGAATAGACTCTCTTGAATAGAGTCTAATTCTATTGGCTTTCAAAAGCCAATAGGAATTGTCCATGCTGTCTCTGCCCTGCTGAGCCCGCCAAAAGTCCCATTCTGCAAACGGTGCTGCACCAATTGAGTAGTCCTTGACTTACAACCGGTTGAGTAATCCTTGACTTACGACCGGTTGGGGGTCGCGGCATTAAAAAGGTTGAGAACCACTGCTCTAACCTGCAGCATAGGGGCACAAGAGCACATGGGCAGACCATGCAGAGGAGAAATGTGTGGCTGCATTGCTCATATCTTCAGCCACTATTGTACCTCTGTGCTTGTGTAATTTGTATGCTAACAAAAAATTAATAGGGCTTTGGGGACATAACCCACAGAACCGTGCAGTAGCCCCTATACAAAGATGTGTGTGTGTGTGTGTATGTGTGTGTGTATGTGTGCGTGTGTGTGTGTGTGTGTGTGTGAGAGAGAGAGAGAGAGAGAGAGAGAGAGAGAACGCTCTGCTAGTGCCACCTTAAATCAAACATTTTCCCAATCCACACTTCAAATGGGATTTTACTACCCTCATGTTTGCCTTTGTTGGCTAAATCTCTGATGAAATCATTTTTCAAGCTCAGAAGAGGATGTACTGTAGCCTCTTTAAAGGAGTTATTGATGTATATAGCGTGTATGCACACATGCATCCTTAATCACCTCTTATCCTTCGAATTCAGGCCAATGTGCAATCTTAATGACCTTATTTTCTATAATACCACCTTGCACTGCATCTATGCTTATGTATTTGTGTTAGAAGAGACAACATTGTGCAGGCACTTTTTTTCAAGTGGGGATTATTCCTGAGCTTAATTGGATTAAATGTATTATGTGCATAGTATACATTATATTATATTATGTGCTCAGAGAAGTAATCTGTTTAACATCATATGTAAATTTGCATATCTACTTTTCATAATAATATAGTTATCTTAAAATTCTAATGGTCACAGTTTAATAGCATAAGTATACACACAGACATTTTCCATTGCCTTATGCTAGAAAAAATATTGACCAACTCAGTGGGCAATAATTATTTATCCTGCACATATTCATATTTCTGAAGAATCAATTTGTAAGGTAAAATATCATTTGCAAATAGTGCATATGTACAAATAATGTGAATTATTTTTCCCTATAGCTTCTGTAATTCAAATGGAAGTATTCATTTTCCCAACTTTCTTAATCTGACTCTCCAGCAGTTTTGATACCAAATGAAAGTGAGATGATTTAAATAATGTGAAAGTAAATTTACAGTTCTCTGTAATAGAAGGAATCTTCCAATAAACATAACTAGGAATTAATGAGCATAAAACCTCTTCTGCTACTCACATAAATGGCTAAGAGACAGTTGGCCTCTCAAGTGTACCTTTTCATGTAGGTCATTTATCTCTGTTGTGCATCCAGGATAAAAAGCACACAGTTTTATTAATTGTAGTTCGTTATCAGGAATCATCATGAGAAGATCTCCTGCTAAATCCCTATGAAACAATATGCACAAATCAGGCATTTCATAATGTGCAAAAATGAAGGAGCAAGTTCAAAGATAAGACTACAGTATTTGTATTTTTTTATTTACTTGTATAATAAAGTGAAAGAACATTTTTGAAATAAAGAGAAAGCATGGTTAATTTAGGACAGTGTTATTGAAACTTTGCAACTTTAAGATGTGTGTATTTTAACTCCCAGAATTCTAATTTAGAAGATAATTAAACTAAGTGTAACACGCTAAAAACACATGCAGGTCCTCTTCAAATGATCATCTAAACTATTATTTAGGAGATCAGGAATTAACTTTGGATTGACTTATGATAACATACTCTCCATGACAGTTTGGAAAGTGAAAGCTTTCTCTAACAGCAAACCACAACTTCACAGTATATTAATATACATAAACACAGGTAATTGTGATTTGTTCAAAATGTAATTTTTCAGCAATCCTGGGACAATTTTCTGGTATGGAAGCAGATAGCTTCCCTTTCTTGCATAGAAGAGATGGAAATGCAAGCCCAAGAACAGGGTTCCCATTTCAAGATGAACTTTAAGCTTTGTTCTGTTAATATCTATAACTGAGCTACTTGCATAATTCCTGTTTCTGATCCTAAGTTAAATCATTCTTCCATTTAGGAATGATTTATTTAAACTTCAGTATAAAGAGTACATAAAAGCTAGTTTAATTAAGTTTATGTTCAAAATTATAAAACAGGCAATTTATTTTATTATTTTACCCTTACATAAGAAGCTTCTTATGACCTCTTGGAAAATAAATTTATGCTTTTGAACCATGAATTGTAGAAATTTTACTGCAAAATTACTTTATATATGGTTATGCACTGTATAATCAATAAAACACAAGCCAATCAAACTGTTATCATAAAAGACAACTCAGTCAAAATGATCAATAATTATTTCCAGTGGCGTCTTCTGCATATAACATTTTCTCATGTTTTTGGCTTAATGTTTATGCACCCGTCATAATATAGTAACATGCACAAAGCAATCTATATGGTTTGTTAAGCAAAGCACAATTTGTAGACTTGTATTATTTATTTCAATTTAGATATCACTATGCCTCCTGATTCTGATTGATTCTGAGCAGTTCACAAATAATTACATAGAAAACAATAAAAACTAGATGGGGTCCAGGCATAACATATAGATAGAAATCTTAAAAAGTTACTAGTAAGTGTGTTGCTTTTATACAAACTCATTCTTTGTATTCCTAGGAGTATTGATAGATACTAATATATATTGTGTACAAATAAATAATTTAGAATGATAGAAGCAGAAGGTTGGAAGGGATGTTGGAAATCTTCCAGTCTAAGTTCTGCTAGGGCAAGAATTCTCATACTATACTATCCTGAAGAAATAGCTGTTTAATCTTTTTTTTTTTTTAAAAAAAACCCTCAAATGATGGAGTACCCATGACTTCAGGAGACAAACTGTTCCACTGTTTAAAAGCTTTGATAGACAAGAAATTCTTCCTTTCAAGTTTAGATCTCCATTGGTAAATGTAAACCTTGTGTACTTTGGTTCTTATCACATGTTCTAATATTATGGAGAATAAATCTATTCCCTCTACCATATGATATCAAGTATTGAAAGATTACTCCAATGTCTCCTCTTAAATATAATAAGTTTCTTTGCTCTTTAGCCTAAAAGTGCCTTATCAACTTTGTTGCTCTTCTCTATACTCTTTCCAATTCTTCAGTGTACTTTTGGGGACTACAACTATTCTAGGCACAGTCTGATTACTATAGCATAGAACTATACTATCACTTCCCATGATAGATACTATACCTCTGTTGATGCAGTCCAAAACTGTGTTGGCTCTTTTGTCAGCTTCATAGTCTGGGTTATGCTTAATCTGTACTTGGACACCCAGATATGTCTTACACTAAACTGTATTTTGTTGGATAGGTCCCAATGTTCAAGTCTATCATACTCCTTTGAACCTTGATCTTGTCTTCTGAGGCATTTTATGTTATAGTGTATACATTATGTACAAATAAAGTGACACTATAATGAAAGCCCCAAAATTGTTTGACATTAATATTTCTATTTTTTTCTTTCATTCAATTGTGTCTACTTTTTGGAGATTGCCTGGTCAAATCCCTGAAGTTTTGTTGGCAAGCATTTTCAGAAGTGTTTTGTGACTGGCTCAAGATCACCTAGCTGGAGTGAGGCCCAAGGTGGCACTTTAATTCACAGCATCTCAGTTTCTAGCCTAATTCCTTAACCACTACACCAAACTGGCTCTCTCTACCTCCATATACCACACATACAGAATTACTATGTAAGTCCTCAATTCTAGGTTTGACATGTTTACAGTTCAAGAGTATTTTTAATTATAGTAGTTTTATGCTACAAAAATTGCAATGATTAAACTGTATAAATATTAATGATGTCCCTTCTGGGTAATGGTATGTTTTAGGGGATTTGTCTTTAGTCTTCTCACAGTTAATGCTCTCATTGGAATCCATATGATGTCTACTAAAACTTTACCAAGTAATCTATTATACATTTAATACCAATAATATTTTATTCAAGTTGAAAAATCAATATCATCTAATGGATTTACTGTTATTTTTAATGTAATCAAAAGACATTAAAATATTTATCTGTAGAAACAAAAAGGTACCTGTATCCAAGTGATGGAAAGCTATAATAAAGATATTCAAGTTATAATATACAAAGTAGTGCTAAATATTAACATCAACATCCACTCAGTTAAATTTCAGTTCAGTGTTAATTTTCTATTTCTCATATATAAGGAGAAAAAATAACAGATTTCCCAATTCAAAGGTCAAAATACTAAAAATATGACATGTCCAAGAAAGGAAACTGAGCTGTGAAGCAGGCAAAAATTGTCTTCTCATAAAGTTCTGGTCCAGATTATGATCCAAATACATATGATTTTGAATGACATTTTTAAAAGGAGATTCTTGATCCAGCAGAATGGGAAAGAGACCATTTTTATCCTCCCTTTCAGTCTCTACTTCCCATACTGTTGCAGAATCCATGAAATCAAAATAAAGTGGGAGTTGGAAACTCCTGGAAAAGAGGAAATAGAAGAAAAATCCATTGCAGAAGCCTCAAATGGTTCATAAAATATTTACAGCAATGAAGAGATATCAATTTGGTTCTTACCCAAATATATAATGTGATATGACATATAACTAGATAAGTCAGGCCAGTGTGTACTAAACTGGTATAGCCTACTGACAAATAAAATACATTTTCTCATATGAAAGTTTATATTTCCAAATATTATCTTTCCTTGAGTCTCTTTTACAGGTATGTTGACACTGCTGTGGCTTTATATAGTGCCATATACTCTCTCCAAAGAATCAAGGCAGAAGAATTAAAAAAACAAAATACTGCATTTTACTATAAGCATCCTCTCTGATTAATTCCATCTTTCTCAAATCTCCCTCTTATTCCCTGCTAGAATAAGATGAAGATGAAAGACGAAAGGGAGGCAAGGAAAAAATTAAAAATGCAAATTATATTTGCACTGGAAGAAAACTGTTTAATAGTGACTATTTCTATCCTCTAGGAAGTAAAATATTCATTGTGGAACACTTTAGTGGATTATTCAAATTTGTACAGTCTTTTTTCTAATATATTGTTAATGAATATAGAAAGAACTTACTCCAAGTGAATTACAGGAGCAATTTATGAACAGGCACTTTTTACTCCCATGAAAATCATGTTAATATTTTAATACTGCACCACAGGAATAATAATCTCAAAATATCTGTACTTTATATGAATTAGTTTTAGACAGTACAAAGAAACAAACCTAGTACACAAATGTGGTTATAATATATTTTAAGTATGCAAGCAGAGCACAGTTCTAAAATTCTAATAAAAACTACTACTTCCTACTGGTATTTTAGTTACAATTTCAATGTGCTTGAAAATAGCCAAATGACAATCTCTCATTAATCTTATACAATGTTTCTCTGTTTTAAGGACACTGGAGCTGAAATCCTAGGATATAAAAAACAGATTTCTTAAAAGCTAATTCTGAATACATGAGGCTTCTGTATTCTGTAAAATGTCCAGTTTCTAAAGAAAAAAATAATTTGGACTAAGCAGTTCTTACCATGTTGGAATAATCATACATTTTCTTGCCAGTAACTCTAGTGCATAATGTGTTCCCTGAGCTGCACATTCTCCTAAGACGGTGCCCACACTGACTGCCAACTCCAGTTCATTTCCTCGAATCAGGTTTGCCATGGCAAGCTTGCGCAATTAAAAAAAAAAATCATTAAGCCTAACAAGGATTCATTGTGACTATCATATTAGCATTCATTTTCAAGCCCACATTTCAGAGTGACAAAACATGCATCACTGAATCTGATCCACACATTTTGGCTAAATCTTTTATTTATAGCCTAGCAACCTAAACAAAACACGAAGAAACCATTTCTATGGGAGAGATAGCTAGAGCCAAGTTACTGTCATTATCTGGACTTTCTAGAGTGAATGAGGCATTTCTTTTATTCATCTGACCTTTATAAGATGAAAGGCAGCCAGAAAGACCAGACCCTCAGTAGTATGGAAAAAAATGGCTTCTTTCCCCTTAAGCTGGTTTCTCATCAGCCAAGAAATGCTCATTATAAAGAACAGATAAAGTATCTATATACTATAATTTACTGCAAAATGTATGATGAATCCATTGCAGGAATCACACACTCCATAATTTATTTTTTCTTATACTCATTTACCTATATATAGAAGGATGTAATGTTTCTTTTATTCAATATCTTATTTATATCTAGCCTCAGGGCTGTAACAAATAAATATAATTTACTGGTGAAGATCAGAACATCTCAATTTTCATTAAGGAACTTCAGGACTCAGGACACTCTGAGATTATCAACTGGGATGAACAGTAGCTACTGTTCCACTAAACAGCAGTTTCCACTCAATGCCCCTTTATGAAGGTCTGTTGAGAAGTGTTCCACATGATCTGTTACAAGATTATTACTTTATGAGTATCATCTTTTCAGACCAGATGCTTTTCAGATGAGGAACTTGATTTGAAAAGGAGTTGGCTTGCACAAAGAAGTCAAAAGTTGTAGCAAATGTTTAGCCTTAGTATTCATATCCACCACCTATACAACAAATATAAGAAACATTTCTGAAGGAAGAAAATGATGACCAAAGAGTGTAAAATCACAAAAGATATCTCAAGGGAAGGAACTATACTTTGCATTTTTTGTCCAGGAGATATTCAGGGCAAATATTAGTGCCAGTTCTAAATATGGGTTTTAACCATAGGAGCCTTAACAAATCTTCTCATATGGGCCTTATCAAAACATCCTGTTCATCACTAAGAATAGCAATGGAAATATTATTACTACTAAAGAGCAGGCAATATTCCCACATAATTCATAACTAAATGTTTTATCTGTGTGCATGAAAGTTTCAGGAACAGTCTGTATATATGGATTTTCCAGACACTATTATTTCCTGAAATACATACATTTATGGCACCGCTGTGTCAGACTTAAGAGCTGAAGTGTAAAAAATGTATCTGAACTAGCATTATAGGGATCTGAGAACTGCTATTCCAGTGACTTCACTGGCTGTTACTGCAGAATAATAACATTAATTACAACTCTATAACTTCAGACACTTTCATAATGTGTATTTCCATATGCTACTTGTATGTTCCTTTTTTTAGATGTCAGACAATACTTTATAAATCCATTATACTGAACATATGCTGAGATTCAGGAATATAGAAATCTATATCCTAGCAACCCCTCAGTCTAGAAAACATTATGATAAATGATTTATTGGCATGATAGTCAGAAGCACTCATTTCAAATTAATTGTATATATAGCAAAATTGTGGATCCCCTGAAGAAAATGTTCAACATCACAGATTTCCACACAGAATGCATTGGACTACTTCCCCCAAAAAATCTTGAAGTTTCTAACAATGAATTGATCTGGTATTTTTTTAAAAAGTAAGAATATTTAAGAGAAGTGGAAGGTTTTCAATTTTGAATTTTGGCAAAAGCACGGCTACCTTGAATGATTTTAAGGGTTAATACTTACTTGTTAATTATACATTAATGCATGGAATATTCAAATTAGATTTGAAATGTGCAAATGTTTTTAGGAAATACTAAACAGCTTCGCTACACACTCCCCCCACCTAACAATTTCTTTGGTCCCCCAAAGAATAGGTAGCTTTCCTACTCAGCATCTATATTATCAGGAGCGGGCATCACTCTTTCTCTACACTGTGTCCTAGTGCATCATATGTCAACCTCTTCACCGGGTGTATCACCCACCTCGGTCTCTGCACCTTAGGTTCAACAGTATCATGGGCGCCGTCCTCTGGTGACCCCCCATCCCCGGAGGTACCCAGGACTGGCAACTCTGCCTCTGACACTGGCGATTGCCGACCCCGTGGAGTAGCTGGATCCATCTCCAACCATTCCCCTGGCTCTACAATATCTGGGGGCAATGCTCCATCCTGTTCTGGCCATTCCCCAGACTGATCTCTAACCTCAACTCTCTGGGGAGTCCCCTCCTGTTCGCAAATTCTAGGCGCGGATTCCAAGCCGTCGGACCCTGGCTGTTCTAACTCCACCTCACCACCCACAGCCTGGGACACACTCCCCATGTCCCCGGATAACCATAACCAATCCATACCCCCCTCTTCTTTTTCAGAATCTTTTACTTCCTTCTCTAGAGACGAAGCGGGTTTTGCCCTGGTTCCCACTCCCCTTCCCACTACACAGGGCTCATCTATGGGAACTGGCTGGGTAGCTTGTACTGCCTTGTGTAAGGGCAATAGATGGTTCCAGTGCCATGCTTTTGAAGGTCCTGTGCTCCCCTCCCGTCGTATTCGGTATACTGGCAACCCCGGCAGTTTCTCAGTAACCACATACAACTGGGAGCCCCACTGATCGGCCAATTTGTGCCTCCCAGCGGGGCCCAAATTTCTTAACAGCACTCGGTCCCCAAACTGTAAATCCTGGACCCTTACTCTCAGATCATAATTCCTCTTGTTACGCCACTCCCGGACCCCTGCAGCTTCTGAGGCTTTTTCATAAGCCCCCTTTAAGCTCCTCCTCAACCTATCCATATAATTACGGTGAGACTTAAAAGAGGTCTCATCCATTGAGGTACCAAAAGCTAGGTCCACCGGCAGGCGAGCTTCCCTGCCAAACATTAGCCGGTACGGGGAATACCCAGTAACGTCACTTCTTGTGCTGTTATAGACATGCACGACAGTGGAGACATGTTGGGTCCAATGCTGTTTCTGCACTTCGGTGAGGGTTCCCAACATATCCAAGAGAGTGTGGTTAAATCTCTCAGGCTGCGAAGTGCCTTGCGGGTGGTACAGGGTGGTGCGGGACTTCCAAATACCAAACAAGCCCAGCAGTTGCTTGACCAGTCTACTTTCAAAATTCCTCCCCTGGTCAGAATGTATGTGCTGAGGTAGCCCGTAGTGTACAAAGAATTTCTCCACTAATACTTTGGCCACCGTAACAGCGCGCTGATCTTTCATTGGGAAGGCCTGGGCATAGCAAGTAAAGTGATCAGTCATGACCAACACATTTCCTTGTCCACTGGCATCCGGTTCTAAGGAAAGAAAATCAATGCAGACCAAGTCCAAGGGGCCATGACTTTGTAAATGACTCATTGGCGCAGTTCTAGATGGCAAAGTTTTTCTCTGAATACAACGCAGACAAGATCTACAATAATCCCCGATTTCCTTCTTCATGCCGGGCCAGTAGAACTGATCCACTACTAAATAAAAAGTCTTTTCTGGCCCCAAGTGCCTATGCTCATCGTGGAGCGCCATCAGTACTGTTCCTCTATGTTTCTCTGGGAGCAAGAGTTGCCACTTTTCTTCAAGCCCATCCGAGAAGCCCCTTCAATAGATTACTCCATCTCGAAACTGTAGGCGGTCCCACTCCTTGTACAACACTCGTGCTCCTCTGGGTACATCGATGAGTAGAGTCTCCCACTGACCACCTCTTAGAGCTCTTCCGACCAAACCACAGAGGGGATCTTCCACCTGGTCCCTCCACAGATCTTTCTTAGTCAGGGCAAACCTACTCTCCCCTCTGATCTGAATAGGATTACAATATAATTTGGGGACACCTGCGATGGTAACCCCCACTGATTCAGCCCCAATTGCTCCCCTAGCTCGATGCTCAACCCCTCGATACAGCGCTTGGATACCATCAGGGGGAAATTGTACCCACTCCCTAGTGCCTACTCCTGGACCCTGGGGCCTCCTTGACAAAGCGTCTGCATTGATGTTCCCCACACCTGGACGATATTTTAAACCAAACCTAAACCCAGATAGGGCAGCCAGCCACCGATGCCCTGTGGCATCAAGTTTAGCAATGATGAGTAAATATGTGTGGATTATTGTCCGTTTTAACTTCAAACTCAGCCCCATACAAATAATCCCTCAATTTATCCACAATCGCCCACTTGAGTGCCAAAAACTCCAGCTTATGGGTGGGATAACTCTTTTCCCTGGGGGTTAAACCCCTACTTATATATGCGATGGGCTTTAAATGTTGATCATGCTCCTGATATAACACCTCTCCAAGGCCGTCCCGACTGGCATCTACATGTAATTCATACAGCTGATTGGGGTCGGCATAAGCCAAGACTGGGGTGTTCGTAAGCCTTTGCTTCAGCTGGTCAAAAGCCTGTTCACAATGCTCAGTCCATTCTGCCTGAATAGATTCTTGTGACCTCCTGGGCCCCCTAGGGTTATGGATTTGATTTGAACAACCCACTGTGTTATCTACCTCTTCATTTTTTATTTTTTTTTTATTGAAAATTTTTAAAATTTACAAAAAAGTTCCCTTCCCCAAACCCTCCCAACCCACCCCATCCCTCCCCCAACCTTCCCAGAGCTGAATACAGGCTTAATTAAAATTAGAAGAAAAAATTTTAAACACAAATAAACCATATACAAATTTGGTTACAATAATTAAACAAATCATAAAATATTTTAACACCAATATTTAAAAAACAGAAAGAGAAAAAGAAAAGAAACAAGAAAAAGAAGAAGAAAGAAAAAAAAATAGAAAAAAAAGAAAAAATATCTAAAAAATATTTTAAACTTTGAATATAAATTATTCAAAAGCTAAATAATATTTTTTTATATCATACTTGTACTGTATAAAATTTATCCATCTTTTCCATACCAAAAGGTACTTCTCTTGCGATTGATCTTTCAAGAAAGCCGA